CAGAAAGTTGTCCATGGACTGCCACCTACACCACAAGTACATGTAAGTACAGAGAATCACGTGATTCTAATTCTATTGCGTGTTCTAATTTCATGCTTATTGTTCTGTAATGAATTATACATTTTCTTCCAGATGGGGGCCTGCTTCTCTAAAGTATTCAACGGCTGTCCGTTAAAGACTCAATGTGCTGTTACATGGGTTCTACCAAAGACGAGAGGTAAAGTTTGCAGAGTTTTAGATAATGGAATTGTGAGCACTAGAGACAGCCGTATTCTGCTTGCTGCCAATTGCACACAAACACACACAAAACCATCGAACAAGTATATAAACTTGCATATGGTTTTGTGGTTAGAGCGAAATAAAAGGGCAGTAGCAGGACAAAATAGCTTGTGTGTTAAAATAGATTAGTGTGAATGCAGCCTATTAGATCTGCTGCTGTCTCTTATCAGAAATAAACATATAGCAATAATGCTGAGAAAAAGAGAACAATCCCTCACTGCCCTTGTCTGGAAACGTTCTTATATTTAAAGCACTCTCAGATACTCAAAGCACTATTTGTTTATTGTTATAATGTGTTTATAATTGTGTGTATATACAGTATGTATAAACTCATTTCTATTCATTTTACTTGCAACAGTGTCTGTTTCGACTTTGGTTATAATAACAAGACCGATATGCTGATATTTACTCGTAGATCAATACCTTATGCTGGGTGCTGAGGAGGGCATCTACACTCTCAACCTCAATGAGCTCCATGAGGACACCATGGAAAAGGTAGCCATATTGTTTTTTCTCTATTTATTTGTGGACCCTTTAATTGTTTCAGAGTAAAAAATCAAGAAAAAAGTTCAAAATAAGAAATAAAGTCACAATATGACATAAAGGCACCATTACAAAATACAAAATATACAAAGGTACATAAAGTTATATCTCACAATTTTCAGAGTTACCTTTCTATTTTTTTTTTGTTCTGAGGAAACAGGCTTTTATAATTTACTAGAGCAAATATCTCATGAAAGAGTGTGTGAGATTTTCTTTCTTTTCCAGTTGCTTCCTCAGAGATGCAGTTGGTTGTACGTGATGAACAATGTCCTTATGTCC